CCCCCCTCCCCTCCTCTTCCACGCAGACCTCTGCCCACCAGTTTGCCGTGCGGTCTTGGCGGCCGCCACTTCCCCTGATTGCATTACTTCTGCTTCCTCCCCTAACTGGATTAGACGGCAGTCTATGAAATCCAGAGCATCAAGACTGGCCTTCCGCCTGGAAATGAGGAGAAATGTCATTACGTGCTTTGAATTACCATCTCATCCAAGCCCCGGGAGACACCTGGACACGGGGAAGGTGGCCTTCGCCTTCATGCTTTCCTCTGTCCACCTGTCCATCTGTCTGTTGGCTCTCTGTCCATTCATCCATCCTTCCATCTGTTTGTCCATTTACCCATCTATCCAAGCTGTTTGTTGATTTGTCTGTCCATCCAGTCTTCCATCTGTCCATCCTTCAATCCATTTGTCCATTTATCCAGCCATTGATCCACCCATCCGTCCATCTGTTGGTTGGTCTGCCTGTCTGTCCACCCATCTTCCACCTATCCATCCACTCCTCCATCTATCTTTCCTCCATTCATCCATCTGTCCACTGGTCCATCCATCCATTCATCCATCTGTGCAGTTGTCTGTCCATTGGTCCATACATCTTTCTATCCATCCATCCATCCATCAGTCCATCCATCCATTCATCCAATATAGCACTTAGTATCAGTCCTTCTGCAGCTAACCAGAGACAGAGAGTTTAGTCAGATGTTTGTGGTCCCTGGGCCCTGAGTTCAAGAGCCTAGTACCCAATACCACAAGATAAAAGAAAAAGGGTTTTTTTTGTTTTTGTTTTTGTCCATCAAGGGGCTTGAACTCTGGGCCTAGGCACTGTCCCTGAGCATTTCAACTCAAGGTGAGCGCTCTACCACTTGAGCCACAGCACCACTTCCAATTTTCTGGTGGTTTATTGGAGACAAGAGTCTCACGGACTTTCCTGTCCAGGCTGGCTTTGAACCAGGATCCTGAGATCTCAGCCTCCCGAGTAGCTAGGATTACAAGCGTGAGCCACCAGCACTCAGCTAAAAGAAAAAGCTTTATAGTGACTCCTCCTTCAGACATATGTCTAGGCCTAAGGAACTTAAGGTTTTATCAGAAAGCACAGACAGACAGCCAAACTGCTGGGCTGGGGGGAAACAAAGAAATTGGTTTGGTGACAAAAATTGTCAGCAAGTGTGGACTTAGGTGGCTGGGTTTCCTGGGGGAGGGGCTGGAGTGGAGTGAGGATTTAGACACACAGAGATGAGAATGGAAGCGAGGGACTGAAGAGGCAGAGGAGGAGAAAGAAGAAGAGGAGGAGCAGGAGGAGGAGACAGAGAAGGAGAAAGGCATCATCAGAGGCGCAGAGAAAGATGTCAAGGCCTTGAAGCCAGGGAGGAGCTGGGATGATCGGAGCAGCAGAACAGCATGGCTAAGGCCCAGGACCCAGGAGGGAAGGCCAAGGTCCACAGCCAGGAGGACCGGAGGCTGGTAGAGAGAGTCCTTGTCTTGAGACTCTCTGTGTGTTCTCCTAGAGGCCAGAACACTTCTTGACACCTGGCATCGTCAAGAATCTACCCATCCTGGACCTGAAGATCCTCGACGAGAAACTGGGCTCCATCCGTGAGTCCTGGTCCAAGCTGTCAGTCAACGTAGCCAGTCCATCCTCCATCCGGGAGTTGGAAGAGGAGCCCCAGGTGCTGGAGCTGCCCCAGGACACGGTGAGTGGTTGCCTGAGGGGGTGGGACACCAAGACCACCCACCAATGGCTGGTCTGGATTCTTTCTTCTCTGCTTCTTCATCTTTGGAATGGAGCCCTGCATGATTTCTTTTTGAAACATACCCCTTTGGCAACTTGCATGTGAGTGTGTGTGTGTGTGTGTGTGTGTGTGTGTGTGTGTGTGTAGTGTGTGTGTATATAGAGCGCTGGTACTAAGGCTTGAACTCAGAGCTTGGTGCTGTCCCTTAACTTCTTCCACTCACGGCTGGCGCTCTGCCACTCGAGCCACACTTCCACTTTAGGGTTAATTGGAGGTAAGGGTTGTAAGAATTTTCCTGCCCAGGCTGGTTTTGAACCATGATTTTTCAGATCTCAGCTTCCTGACTAGCTAGGAGTACAGACAAGAATACCAGCACCCAGGTCCTGAGTTTGAGTCCCAGTACCAACACACACACACACACACACACACACACACACATCCTGAGAACTTTGGGAATTGATAACAATAATCCATTGATTGCTCAGCCCTCTGCAGCCTGGCCTGGGAACTCTCCTTGTGCCTAGAAGCAGAATAGCGTAGGAGAAAAGGGAGGAGGTTATTCAAAATGCCAAGGAAGCTGGGCGCCAGGGGCTCACAACTGTCATCCTAGCTACTCAGGAGGCTGAGATCTAAGGATCCCATTTCATGAGACTCTTATTCCAATGAACCACCAGAAAACCAGAAGTGGTGCTGTGGCTTGAAGTGATAGAGCACTATGAGCAACAAGAGTTCAGGGACAGCGCCTAGGCCCTGAATTCAAGTACCATGACTGACAAAAGAAGAAAAGGGGGGGGGGCAGGGAAGGCAAGGAATAAAGCCAAAGGACTAAGGGAAGACTGGAAGGAAAATGAGGACATTTCCACCACCACCACCCCAAGCTTAGGGCAGCCTCGACTTCATTCCCTCCAGGATGGGACCGCTGACCAGGCCTCAGACCTCAGCTGAGGTCTGAGGACCCCTTTGCACCCCACCCGAGCTCTAGGAGCAGATGGGCTGGACATCTGCCCACCTGGGCCCCAGACCCTGTGTTCGCTGCAGGAGCTGGGCATGGCAGTCAGGTGTCTTAGCTTAGAGTCTGCTGGGCACGGCGGGACCCAGGGTCTAAGGGTCTGGACCATAGAGAGTGTGATCATCCTGTCATGGTGAAATGGGGCTGGGAGGGGGTAAAGGGCTTTATTTATGGGGCAGCTCTGGTGGAAAGTTCTTTAAGACGTATCTCAAATAAGGTTCTGATCTGTGGGGTGTGGGTCAGTTCGCCTTGACTTTCTCTTCAGAATGGAAACAATGTTGGGCCGGGAGGTAGCTCAGGGGCAATAGCCTGGCAAGTGCTACATTGGGGTTCATCCCCAGTCCCTATAATAATAATAATAATAATACCAATGTATATCGGGCGCCGATGGCTCACTTCTGCAATCCTAGCTGCTCAAGGAGGCTGAAATTGGAAAGATCCTAATTCAAAGCCAGCCCCGGGCAGGGAAGTTTGTGAGACTCTTCTCCCCTCTCCTCTCCTCTCCTCCCCTCTCCTCTCCTCTCCTCCCCTCTCTTCCTTCCTTCCTCCCTCTCTCCTTTTCCCTCTCTCCCACAGCCTTGTTCAGAGATGTGTGGCAGACCAGCAGGCCCTCATACCAGAAGATGAATAATTGACAAGGGTTGTTTAAAGATTCAGCAGAGTTTTCCTGCCCTGCCCGCGTGGCTGAAATAACTCATTTCTTTCCTCCTTTCTTTGAAAGCTCCCCCCCCCACACACACTTTCCCTCACATCCCCCACCCCACCTAGAGCTGCTTTTGTTTCTTTTCCTTTCTTTTCCCCAACTTCCCCTGAGCCATGGAACTTGGCCGGGGGGCGGGGGTGCTGCGTTGACCCCATTAAGTCCTGTGAGTGTGCACAAAGACCCAGGAGCTGCGGCTTCTGGGAGACAGAGCCTTGGAGGTGGAAGATGAGGCCTCAGAAGGCCAGCCTCCCCTCCCAAATGCCTCCCTGTACTCACCCATGTCCCTGTCCCTTCATTTTCCCATCAGTAACCCCAGAGAATGAATGGCTGCTAATGCCCTCAAGATTAAGAGACAGGGAGAGGCCGGCCACCCACCGGTGCTCACGTCTGTAATCCTAGCTCCTCAGGAGCCTGAGAGCTGAGGATGGTGGTTCAAAGCCAGCCCAGGGGGAAAAAACAAAACTCAGAGACTCTGATCTCCAATGAACCAGCAAAAAGACAGGAGTGGAGGTGTGGCTCAAGTGGTTGAGCGCTTGCTAGCCTTGAATGAAAAAGCTCAAGGACAATGCCTAGGCCCTGAATTCAAGGCTCCCCCCCCAACTTCTCTCTCTCTCTCTCTCTCTCACACACACACACACACACACAAACACACCATGGAGCTGTGTGACCCGGGAGAAATCACTCCACATCTCTGAATACTGTCCTCTGCCCACCTCCTGAGGTGACAGGGAAGACCCCTGGGGAGATGGGTGGCCAATCCCATCCACTTCACTGCTGCCCTTGGAGGAGACCCCTCCCTCTGACCCCTGACCCCTCCTCTCCCTTCCCCCTCACCCGCCCCCCCCCACCTCCCAGGCGGCCATTCTCCTTCTCCATCCATCACCTGAGACTAAAGAGATTAATAAACCAGACGCATAACTCAGCGCCGGGGTGCGGTGGATATTTACGGCTTCGGTTTCAATTTGCAGAGAGATTAAGTGTTTGTCGATTTATTGTTTCTCTGCAGGGGGCGCAGGGCTGAGCCAGCTCTTCCCCCACCCCACAACATCCACAGCCCTGGAGCTGGGGGGGAGGGGGGGCGGGCTCCCCACCCAGGAAGCCTGGACACTGAAGGAACTTATCCTCTTGTTTTATCATGTGTGTGTGTGTGTGTGTGTGTGTGTGTGTGTATGCATGCATGCATATGTGTATGTACAGGTGTATGTGTGGGGGTGGGTGCACCAGTCCTGGGGCTTCAATTGGGGACCTGAGTGCTGTCCATGGCTAGCACTCTACCACTTGAGCCTCAGCTCCACTTCCAGCTTTTTGCTGGTTCGCTAGAGAAAGAGGAGTCTCGTGGATTCTTATGGCCCCTGCTGGCTTTGAACTGTGATCCTCAGATCTCAACCTCCAGAGAAGCCAGGATTACAGGTGTGAGCAACGGAGCCAGCCTCATTTACTTTTGAATCAACCTAGGGAGGAAAACAGGACTGTCCAGCTTAGGGAGGGAACCCACGGGCTCCACTGGCCTTGGAGCCAACCCCCAAATTCAACCACCCCAGATCTGGGGTTCCAGTTGGGCATTTAAGCCTGGTTATATGAAAGTAGCTTTGTACCCTGCCCCTCCTTCCCCCCCCTCCTGCATCCCTCTTCCCCACCCCTCTTCCCGGTCACTCCTTCCCCCCCTCCCCTTCCTCTCCTTCCCCGGCCCCTCCTCCCCAATCCCTCCTTCCCCTACCCCTGCCCCCTGCCCTTCTCCTAGTCACCTGGGCTTCAGTTCAGTCCACCCTGAGACTTGGTTTGTTGTGCTAGTCCTGAGGCTTGAACTTAAGGCTTGGGTGCTGTCCCTGAGCTGCTTTTACCCAAGGCTCTACCATTTGAGCCACAGCTCCATTTATGACTATTTTTTTGCTGGTTCATGGAATTTCCTGCCCAGGCTGGCTTTGAACCCTCCGATCTCAGCCTCTGAGCAGCTTAGGATGACAAGCATGAGCGGCTGGTGTTGGTTCACACGGGCACGTCCAAGCCCATGAGAACAGCGAAGGAGGAGGCACTCTGGATCTCTCTAGAAGGGCACAGGCTCTGGGGAGCCTCTGTCCCCCACCCCAGCCCCTTCTCATGGTCTCCCCTCTCTTCACCCCATGAGTGAAGAGGACTCAATCCCTGGGAGACCAGCACAAGAAGACCTACTAACAAAAGAAGCCCTGAGCAGGGGTCCTGGAGTGCGGGGGGGGGGGTGGAGGGGGGAGGGAGGGAGTCACAGACCATATTGCCCCACGGCCCAGCCTCCCCCCAGCTCTGCTGAGTCTATGAGGGTGCTCCCCACCCCCCAACTCAGATTAAATGCTTTTTAAGACAACCCAATTTCCTCCTGACATACATTAGAAGATCCCAGCCTGCAGACACACACACACACACACACACACACACACACACGTGCTAAACATCCAATCAAGCCACTGATAATAGAGAATTGCCGGCTCGCTCCCCGTTTAATCAGATGAGCGGCTCCTTTGCGCAGAGCGCCGGCTGCCGGCTCCGGTGTCTGGGCCATCCTGGGTGTGGGAGCTGTGCCTTTAAATCTTCCAGGAGGGGAGGGGGGCTCCACACTGTCCACAGGGGACTAATTATCCTTCGCCCTCAGCCAGCTCCTGCTCAAACAGACAAAAGGGGTCCCCAGCCTGGATGCTCAGCCTTGGAGCACAATCTTTTTTTCAGATATGCAAATGCACAGGATGGCTGAATCGTGGCTGAAGGGTTCTGTGGGCCACACTTGGCATAGGGCCCATTTGGGGGGGCTGGGGGGGGCTGGTGACTGGAGCTATCTTACACTTCCTCGGCAGGCTGAGTGGAGAGCTCCTTCCCAGCTCTGAGCCCAGCCCAGCTCTGCTGGTAATGAGGGTGAGGAACCCCCCCCCCACATCTCATGTGTTCGTTCGTGTGTGTGTGTGTGTGTGTGTGTGTGTATGTGTGTGTGTGTGTGTGTGTACCAGTCCTGGGGCTTGAACTCAAGGCCTGGGCACTGTCCCTGAGCCTCTTTGTGCTCAAGGCTAGCACTCTACCACTTGAGCCACAGCGCCACTTCCGGCTTTTTGTGCCTAGTTTATTGGAGAGAAGAGGCAGACCTTTCTGCCCGGGCTGGCTTCGAACTGCGATCCTTAGATCTCAACCTCCTGAGTGGCCAGGATGACAGATGTAAGCCACCAGCACTGGCTTCCCGCCAGGACACGGGGACTGGATGGAGGGCTGGGGGAGTGCAGGATTGCCAGA